GAATCTAGATGCGTCTATTTTAACCCGAATATACTTCTCGGGATCGAAATACCTAAGAATCGGCGTAGTTATAAAGTAATTCTTTAACGATCGGAACGTATCTCGCGCTTCCGGCGTTAACTATATCTCGACCAACTTAGCTTTGCGCTATACTCGCCCACCTATAGGGATTTTACCGCCATTCTCTATGAGTTTATTAAGCGGCGCCGTAATTCGTGAGAAACCTATAATAAATTTACGATAATAGTTTACGAAACCTATGAACGTCCTAATTTAATGTATAGTAGTAGGTTCTAGCCATTCCATAATGGTCTTAACACGCTCTAGCTCCATTTTAAGGCCGCCGTGTATTACAATGAAGCCGAGAAACCCAACTTCTTATTAGTAAAACTTACATTTAGATAACTTTACGTAGAGTTTATACTATCTTAAACGATTTAGTACCGATTTCACGTATTCTTTATGATCCTACATACTATCGGAGTAAATTAGTATGTTATCGAGGTAAACTACGTAGATTACATTAAGTAATCCTATAAGTATAGTATTAATGTATCCTTAGAACGCTCCTGGCGTATTTATTAGCCCAAACGGCATAATAGTATACTTAAAATAACTATATCTAGTCCGAAATGCGGTTTTCCACTTATCTCCACGACGGATTCGAAGCCGGTAATATATATCTCGTAAATCTAGCTTCGTAAAGTACTTTACCTTCGTTAATTAGTCTAAAGATTTACTAACTAACGGTAATAGGTAACGATTCTTCTTAGTCACCGTATTTAGTGCTCGATAGTCGACGCATAGACGTAAACTTCCGTCTTTCTTCTTCACGAAGAGAATAGGTACGCCGGCTAATAACATACTATAACGTATCTAGCCTCTTCCGAGATATTCTTTAATATATTTATAAAGAACTTTAAGTTCTAGTCTCGAAAGTAGATAAAGTAGACTATAAGGGACGTCTACTCCCTCTTCGAGCTTAATCTTTAGCTTATACGGCCTATGGTCGGGGAGGAGTAACGCGTCTCCTACCGAAAACATATCCGTGTACTACGAATATACGTCGGGTAGCGTGTCTTTACCCCGATTATTACTATTCTCTTCGTCTTCGTCGATAATCGATAGGGATATAAGGTAGATTAGCGACGATTAGGTCCGCACGGCAAGGTTCTATGCCTCCTTACTAATGGTTGCGACTTACTAGTATAATTTACCGCGATGTCGACGGAACGTTAATATCTCCTTCTAAAAATCGAGAATTAGGTTTAGGCGTTTAAGCTAAGGCATCCCTAGAATTATATTCTATTAGCTAATATTAGCCACGATAAATTTATTAGATATCTACTATTTTATTATCTTTAAGTTATGAACTTCGTAATTCGTTATAGTTTTACCTAAAGTTCTAACTTTATATCCATTAACTACGATAGTTCGGCCAACTTTACCGAGATCGTATAATAATCTACACTCCTTAGCAAGAATCGACGAAATATAGTTATCTTCTATACTAGTATCCACGAGGGCCTATATAGTTTTATTACCATTTACTATAGGTAACGATACTTTTAGTAATATTAGGTCTTTACTCGCCGGAAGGCGCTGCGGCTCCTTCTAAGTATATATGATTTAGCTAAGAACGCGGTTAGATCTCGCGTACTAGCCTATTCTTTTTTCGGATTCTTATAGTTAGGCGAAATATATCCCTTTTCTCTACACTTATAGTAATAAAGTGCGCTATGATCCTACTATTTTACGATAGGCGTTATATTTAAGCCTGTGCCTTATCCTTTTCCGCGTTAGGAACCACCACCTTAATTGTTTCGGTGTCCTCTTAACGCGTTTCTACCCCGATTTACGCTCTTCTAGCGTTAATCGTGGTAAGGTTACTCTTAATCGAACGTATTCGATCGACCTCGTTTCTAACCCGTATAGGGTTCGTCGGTTTTACCTAGAGAGCCGCGTTTCTTAAGGATATAGTAGTATTCGTTAGCTTTCTCCTCTAATTCGTGTAGATAGTTAAAACTTAATAATACTATTCCTAATCTTTCGCGGATTAACGGGAGTAGTACTTCGCGAAACTAGAATATACGAATATTTTCCTATAGTATAGGGATATTATCCTAGAGGTTTTATAGGTATTATAGTAGTTAAGTAGGTGTCTAGTTCGGTCGTTATGCCACGCTTCTTAACTTAGATAGTGCCTTTCTTTCGCGTTCTCCGTTAGTTCCGAGGGTATTTAGTATAAATATAGCTAAATGCTCCTAGGTTGTCGCCGATAGTAGCTTAACTTCCTTCTATCTATCCTATTAATCGCGGGATTATAAACCTAAGTAACGTTCTCCGAATAAAATGCATTATACTTCGGTAGAAAAGAGCATAGGGTTATTAAGGAAGTACTTCTCGTAGTCTCTCTTCTAATCTTTCTACTCCTTTTAGTTCTTCCCTATAAATATAGTCGGATCTTTAGGTTTTGGTATACCTAAGGAAGGAGTAGGGTAAATCGGTAACGAAGCGGCCGGGTATACGGTGGATTATCGTAACTCTAATAGTAGGTGAACTAATTCCGCCTAAATTAGTGTAGGAAGTCGTCTACCTACTATCGTTCCGCGTAGTCTTTTAAGAGACTCGTTAAGTTCTCGTCGTTTTGCGAGGAGTTTCGTATGTTTAGTCTATTCTTTAAGGATCTATATCTCTCGGGCTTGATTAGTAATATGCTCCTATAGTTCGGCGATTAATGGTTGCGATTCCTCGTATAGCTCTACCACGACTCGTTGTCCAGCTTCCTATTATAGAAAGTTACTTAGTATATCTACTATTTCCTTATTAGAAAGTTCCGTGATTCGGTCGGATATCTCTACTTCTCTATTAAGAACGGCCGGATTTAATACCAATTATGGAGGATCCCTATTATTTAATGTAGTGTTACTTATCCCTATAGTGGATCGTGTCGACCTTCTTAGTTCTAGTTAGACTATCTTAACTATAGTACTATATAGGGAGTAATTCGAATGTAAGAATAGGGTAGTTAGATAGTAGTGTAGCTAGATAGAATAATAGGGTGTATTCTATTATAGAACGAATTACTACCGAACCCTTTTAGTAGGAATCCGAGAGTATATATATAAAGGGACGCCGATCTATCTAGCACGTGACTGTTTACCGCCCTTCACGTCACCTCCTAACCCTGTTAGCTAAGGTATATATAGGTCGGGTCCTGCCTAAGGCTAAGTCCTAACATTACTAGTATATAGAAAGAAGTCCAAAGTAGTAGAGATTTTAGTACTATTATAGAGATTAATATATATTAGTAAGAATCTATAATAATTTAAGAATAATAATATTACCTAGTAATCGCGGTAATAATAGCTATAGTAGATTCTAATAAATTCTTATAAATCTTATTAGAATTATACTCCTAGGCGTAACTCTTACCTTAGATATATAGCTTATAGAAAGCCTTCTCTAAGGCGTTATAATTAGTAGTACTATACTTCTTATTAGTAGAGGTTACTAGAGGCCTAGTAGTAATCTATACTAATATAAGTAAATCTATATAAAGTTCTTCGAACTTATTTAAATACCTATAAGTAATAATACTTCTTAGTTATATAAGTACTATATATTATAGATTTAGTACTACCGTAAGTAATATATAATAGAAAGTAATAACTATAATAATATATAGCTAGATTATTAGAGCCCGGCCTAGGTTAGAGTAGATTAATAGCTTTTAATATATTAGTAATGTATATAAGATAGGGATTATTTAAAGGCGCCTATTTCTATACTAATTACTTTAGAGCGTCGAGATTTTAGGAAACTATATTATAATTATTACTAATTTATATAGATTATTATAAATTATTACTATTACTAGCTAAATACGGTATAAAAATTAGTAAATTATATAAATTATACTAAATTATAGTAAATCTATATAAATCTATATCTATAAGAATTAGATAATATATCTAATAATCTAAAAAACTCTATAAAGAGTTAAGAAGTTTTTTAAGGAAAGGAATATTTCTAAGAAAAGATTTTAATATAGATAGTACCTAGGCTTATCTAATTATACTACGTGATACGCTAGGCCTAATTAGATAATCTTACCTATATAAGAATTTAGAATAGATAAATCTAGTTTATTAGAAAAACGCTTATATAAATCTTAGATTAGTAAATATTAGTAAATATCTAAGATAAAGTATAGAGAATAACTAAGGTCTTATAAGACTTAGAATAGAGATATAGAGATAGATAATAATCTAG